ATACCAGTTCCTACCAAAGTCTCTTTATACCAGTTCCTGGTAAACATCTCTTAGTAACGACTAATTTAGTAGTTTTTAGCAACATATGATTCAACTTTTCTGAGAAGTGGCGTCTAACTTAAAAGTTTCCAACAATATGTAATATGATAATAATACATAAAAGATCCTAATTTAAGTGGGATTTTGAACAATAGAAAGTTGAATCCTGATGTGAAGCTCTAGTCCTCATATCTGGAACTGCTAACATAAAATATGGAATAAAATCATATAAAACCTTGAGTGATAATAAAACCCCAAACTTGAAAACTTCCGAAAAAAGAGGGTAATAAAAGAAAATTTTGCATTATAAATAAGTTTCGTATTTATAATCGTACAATCAGAGAGAAGAATTTATTAAATTAGAGTTTTATTCTTTCATTAACTGTTGTCACAATAATATTACTTTTAATATTTAATGTGCACTAAAGTAAAATGACAACATCTGAAACTAATGAATGCTCTTTTACACAATAAAATTCTCTTTCTAATTTCATTGTAGTTTAAATTTTTTCGGTATTTTTTACTATTACTTTTTTCTTTATTTTTAGTACATTATATTATTTCGCAGTGAGGCGCTACAATAGACTTTAGTGCCTGGAGTGAAAGAGCCGTTCAAACGTTATCTAATCGTAATGTCGATAGCGCTTAGTTATACATAAACCTGAAAAAAATTGTTTAATGTAAAATGTCTTATTGATGAAACCGCCATGAATATATAGGTTAGTTGTGCCCAAAAATGTGTTTTATAGCTTACTAAGTGTGTCAGTTTGCGATTTAAGCCTAAACAAATCCCTTTCTGTCACGAAATAACGCTTAATCTTTGGTGACGTCATATATATGACGTTACACGGACAATATGGAGAGAATTTCAGAATCTGGGAAGTGTTTGGTTATAGCTTTGATGATTATTTTAAAAACAAGTTTTGTAATCGAAACAGGTAGGTGTGTTGTTTTCCATTCTAGGGTATGGGATATTATATTTTTTAATAGAAATAGTATTAATTTTAATGAGCGTAATAATATCAGCTATATCCCCATATTAATTCACGTTGTCCCCCGGTGGGACAGCGGTAAGTCTTTGGATTTACAACGCTAAAATCAGGGGTTCGATTCCCCCTCGGTGGACATAACAGATAGCCCAATGTGGCTTTGCTATAAGAAAACACACACACACATTAATTCACATTGTGTGTTTGTTTGTTTATCTTACAATTTAGAAGCTAGGAGGACCACACTTGGCATGCGAACTCGGGATGGCTTGGGAGTGTTCTTATCTATATGACAGCGGCTGGCATGACCTGGTGATTAGGGGGCTTGACTCGCAATCTGAAGGTCGCGGGTTCGAAACCCCATCGCTGAAAGTGCCCGCGGTGGATGGTGTTGACTAGCTGCCTTCCCTCTAATCTAGCACTGCTAAATTAGGAAGGGCTAGTGCAGATAGCCCTCGTGTAGCTTCGCACGAAATTCAAAACAAACCAAATCAATCCATATGACAGCTTCCTACTGGAGGGCTAAAATGCGCCGAAAAGGTCACCAAGGCATTATTGGGTCTAGGAATAGGTTTTCAGGGTTTATAAACCCAAATAGGATATAGGAGCTTGTGTTCTTGGGCCTCCTCAGGATCCCAGGTCCATTATCTTTGAAACTGTTTTCATATTCCCATTCACAAGCCAACGGGATCAAACGTTACATACATGATTAAGTACCACGAACGGGTGTCGTAACGGGATTTGTTTTTTTTTGGGTACGAACCATCTTTGTGGTGTAGTTATAGAAATATTTGGGATAATGGATGAGCTTGATCGGTACATTAATTTCGGTTTTTGTGAATAATGGGTGGCCATTTTCAAATAGTAAAGGCTGTAATGGCCAACTGATATTAAGTAAAGATTACCAAACATTACCTCTCTTTCAATTTTTATTGAAACGTGTTGCTCTTCCTATGCTTTGACGTGTTTATGCACTGAAAATTTGATTATAGATGAAAATAACTATCCAGTTTCGTAAAATAAAATTAAAAAAAAAGGTTGTATATGTTTGTATTCCACATGCGTTAAATATTTGGAATGTTTGAACAGCACTCTATACGACACATAGGCTGAACGACCAAGTCAACAGACCTTTTATTTCTGGTATACTTGTCCTTAATTTAAGGCTGCTGACTAAAGGCGTTGGAGAGGGGGGCAAACAATTGTTTGATTTCACCGCTTACTTCGCTATCCATAAATGAATTGACTGTTACTTTTATATCTTCTCTTAACTAGATAAGCTGTCATTTTTACAGCGCGCTCACAGTTGAAAGTGCGCAACATGTTGAACGATATATACTGAACCGAAACTCAGGACTTTCACGTCCACAGTACAACACCATAGTCACACCTGACCCTCTACAAACACTAAATATAGTTAGAAGAATAATTAACAATACTGAAAATCATTTATTGAAATGACCTCTGTACTCTGTACATATATATTAATCCACTATGGAACTGTATTCATACATATGTATATTAATCTGCTATGAAACTGTATTCATATATATACATACTGATTTGCAATGAAACTGTATTCATATATATATACATATTAATTTACAATGGAACTGTATTCATATATATATATTAATCTGCTATATAACTGTATTCCTACATGTGTATATATATATGTTTATTAATATGCTAAGGAACT